TTTTTCACTCCGATTTGGTAAAAGCTGTCAAAGAAGAATCTGCACTTATTTCACAAGTCCAATCTGTTCCAAACGGAGTGTCGTCTGAAAAATTGATAGAATGTGCGTTCCGCCTAATGAAGTCATCGAACAGTTCTTTCGTAAGAATTGCTGAAGGTGATGATTGCGAACAACTAGCTCGACCCTCATCAATGAACTCATTTGTTTTCGAGAAAAACTTTGAATACTTAGAAAAGTCTGCATTTTACAGGATGATTGATCAACAGGTAAAATACCTACACTATTTTTATCTATGATGTGTTTTCAGTTCAAACATTAAAACAAATACTGCCAATGGTTTGACGATCTTGTTATGTTCAATTATAAAAGAGTCAGTAGAAATTAAACGGATATACATGTCTGTTATTTTTAAATATGCAGTAGTTTATGCATTGAAAGTTTGACATAAGAGTATCTTTATAAAGAAGATAAATATGAGTGCAATGCCTAAAGGAGATTACCGGTTATGAAAAAAAAACATTCGTTGTCCTTAAGTTTTTCTTTCTTTCTTGCAGACATCCTTTAAAAATTCCTACAATCAAAGAATTCACCATTACATATACCAAGAGGTAAAAAATGGAGACAAATTTCATTTCGTGTTTCAAAAGTCGAATACAGACAGGTAGGTTTCATTTGCTATATTTGATTAAGGCGCGTGTCTATATATAATTCTTGACTGTTTAACTATTATAACATGTTCAATTATCATTCAACTTTTTAAAGGAGGTAAATGCACATTTGTTCGTGCATTAACGTCTGCAAAAGCACTAGACCTAGCGCACAGGGCGGAGGATTTAGGAGGTCCGAGGCATTATTTTTGCATAAGATGTATGTTTGATTCGGCAATATCAATTTTGTTTTTAATATAAAGAAAATGGTTTATGCATGCTTTCGATGCATTATTACGATGTCATTTGACAGTATAAGGCGATTTTTTATGTAAGCTATATTTTACATAGCGCCCTGAGTCACGTATATTGCAAATGTGATTTTATCGATAAGTGCATGTGTAGTTTTATGCGAGAATATATATATCTTCGTGGACACTTGGCTATGTATGATCTTTTTATTTGCCTAAGTTTCCGTATCAAACAACAGAATAAAACATGGGTACCAAAGTAACATTATGGAAATTGAGGTTTAAGTTTATTATGGGGATAAGAATTATATAGAATATTGTAACACACATCCTCACCTCTTAACTGATATCAAGTCATCTAAATAACTACGATAATATATGTATTAATTTAAAATTATCTTAACTTTATAGCTTTGATGCTACTCATCCAATTTAGTTTATAAAAGAAATAGTAAAATAACGCTTTTATTTATATTGTACAATAAAAAGTGTACGCATCTGAATACAGCAATGTTCAATTATACCAATCATTAAACAATTAACATTTAATATTTTGATCCAGCTTAGCTATAACATTCAGAGACACAACAAATGCAATACAAGCTGTTAAATTCGACGATGTTTCAACGCAACTAGTATTAACAAATGTAGGTCCTTCTGGTCTAAATGAAAAAGAAAAACTTGCATCTCCTCTCCAGGACTTCAAAATCTACAAGATCAGATTTGAGGTACTCCAATATCACTGGAAGGTAAGAGTATGGTGATTAAGTTAAGAGGAAAGTTTATGTTTTTCTTTACATGAATATAGTATATATTTTGGTCATATAGTTGGTGATTATGATGTGATTAAAAGAAAGATGATATTAACTGTGGCAATCAGCTGGTGTATGTGGTATGTATTGGATGAAATATCATTGACCGAGGAAACAGCACATATGACATCATATTCACCAGCTAAAAGCTTAATTTATTCTCTCTCCTTAAATATAAAATATATTGATAGTTTTTACATGGCCTATCAAATTTGTCTCTAAATATAAAACAAGTCAATATTTCTTCAGTTGTTAACTGTTTTCATAACAATGTCTTATGTTTTAAAAGAAAGCATGGGAACGCTAAATATGTAATACATTGTTTTACCCGCCCCCTAAAAAACAAAAAAAGAAACAAACAAGGCGCAAATGATTACAAAAGTGTGAAGAACCAGAACTGATTACCATAAAGTATTTTGTTTTCCTTTTCTAAAAGATTGTCAGCGTAAATTGTTTCATCCTACGTACCTTTTGTTTTGCCGTTTATACACTGACCTTTATAGGTCGTAGGTGACATTTTCTAGTCATTATACTTGCTTTCGATATATTTTTCTTACCATATTCTTTCAGTGACTATACTTAGAATTTATAACTACCTTAGAATATTAAGTGAATTTAAGTTCTATAACTATTAAAATATCTAACATTTTATTAGATTAAATTATAAAAAGATAATGAATGTATTGGATTTTATTGCATCAATAAATCTGTATATACATATAAAAGGTCTTTTTGTGAAATATAATTATTTTAGTGATAGAACTACCTTCTCTGGTCATCTCTGACATGTGACACCGTTAGTTTACTTTACTACTTATAACAATCTTTACATCGAAACTCAAAGTAAAACTACCATATGAAGATGGCGCAGCCCATAAAATAAAATGGCTCGACCCATACATTCTGAATGCATCATCACGTCTCAGTGAGTTTTAATAATCATAATTCCTCCTTCTCATATGACAAGAAAGAATAATTTCTCTAGAAGTCAGAAAGGTAATATCTCACACGTTCCTAGCGCTTTAAATCTTACTCTCCCGTAAGTAACAACGTGTTTTGTCAAGCGTTGAGCGATGCTTTTTCTTACAATATAATATTTTTCTTTAATATTTTGCACATCAAGAATATTTCATCATATCTGATGGAGTAATACTTTTTCCCCAGATACCAACATACATACATGCATTTTCTATTGATATAAAGTTGACAAGTAAACATTCACAACAGAGTTAGAAAATATACATCGTAATAAAATGCAGAACATTTGGATAGACATTTAATATGACTTTTTTCTTACAGATCACAGTAAACGACGAAGTGCTTCCAACAATTAACCATCATGGCTTGATTACAAACATCGAAGTGATTGTTGTCAGGTTAGGACCTTCGATCAAATATCTGTCAAAATATTTCAATCCAAGAAATCAACCAACAGGTATAACAGGATGGTGAACAGTGACATGGTTTGAAAATTTAGTTAGTTTCTGTGATGAAACTACGATAACATTTGATCAACATAAAGTGTTAATATTTATGACTGAATCAAAATTTGTAACATTATTTGATTATAAATACGACAAGTGTATAGTATACGGTTATTCGTTATGCCTAAAGGTTCAATGTTATGTACCGTTACAAAATGAAATAAAAACATGTGGTTCATTCAGTTTAAACTAAAACTATTTCGGGGGTGTCTGTGTTGCCCTTTGCCTTTTGTCAGGGAACTGAACTATTGCGAACAGCTGAGCATGTCTTCGCTCAGTAAAGTAAGGAATATAAACAAGATAAACAGCTAGTGGCAATTGTGAAATAAAAAACATTGTACGCTAAAAAAAATATCATAAAACTTCTCGCTTTAAGACCCTGTCGAATTTCCCTTTCCTCTATTCATACATTTTAGTGCGTGCTCATTTTCCCTAGTCGGCGAATAATAGCAAGAATATTTTCGATGAAATGAAAAATAAATGACGCCGAATAATCAAATTAATTTAACAAATGAGCTCATAATTAACGCTACGCACCATAAGAGGTCACCTTCTTGCGACGTATCAAACAGCCAATTATCGTTGAGCTTTTACAATCTTGAGAGAATCTGGTTTCTAATTTTAACCGCTGGAAAACCAATACTATGTAGGTATTTTTTTACAATTTCGATAACAAACATGGCATGTAAACTGGCAAAACAATCTTGCCAATTAAAAGTTGAGTCTATTATTTCCAGTATATTTGTTTCAAATTACTTGAAACAATTTGTTTTCTTACAAAAATCAACAATATATTTTACTTCCACGGACAGCGATATTATGAAAATTCTTCTAATGCCTATATGTGAAGGACGTAACATCCAACAAAACAAACTGGTCTTTGAATGTTTAGAATTATGCAGGGTACAAAAATATAGAATAAATAAATATTATTTCCAATTTGTGTATATCATTGACCTCTTTTTCATACGATGCAAAGTCAAAGATAAGACAAGAGGTATGTTTTGTCATCTCTGTGTTTGTGTTCCATCTAGATCTGCTGAAGATGTGATATGTTATATTCATTTGGGATGAAACGAGTTGTAAAAGTCCATTCTTTTAAATGGTGTCTTTCTATTAAAATGAAAGTTTCAGATGCCTAAATAATTGTTAGAATTGTAATTAACGACTGCAACTACAATGACATATCTTCATTAAAGATAAGTTCAAACTGAAGGATTATATTCAAGAGTTCTAAGAGCGAACATATTTTCAAAAGATCAAACATGAGAAAAAACAAAATGTTGAAATAATTCATATAGCTTTGATTTTTATGAACATATTTCAGTGCTGCTTAATACAAAGTCATGCTTTTTTAGGTGTTGTTAGGATACTTTAGGATGCTTTTTACTGGGATGATTTTTATTGCCTCATTCCTGTATCTTGAAATACCTTATTCTCTCGGTTTAACATATTCTACTTCATACATATGAAATAAGTTCTTCATTCAAATAAGCTTGAGTGTTAAAACCTGCTGCTTTTCATGACACATTAATTGGAAATGTGTACTTTTTTCGAAACTAGAGTGAAACCCGATGAAGAATACATTTTTCACAATCAACATTATAGTTCGTTATTTGTTTTCTTTGGGTCGTGACAGCCCGTCATTGATTACATTAATTTCCATACTGAACACTGTTTCTATTAATTCAAGCAAAATGTTTACAGACTTCACAGGCTGAACAGCCTAGGACATTGATAAAAAACGGGTGGTTGAATAATGTTTCTGGTAATGTAGGGCAGATAAATGAGCCGCGTTACGACAAACCCAACATAATGGGTTTGCGACCAACATGGATCCAGACCAGACTGCGCTTCCGCGCAGTCTGATCAGGATCAATGCTGTTCGCTTACAAACCCTATAACAAGTAGAGAAACTGATAGCGAACAGCATGGATCCTGATCAGATTGCGCGGATGCGCAGGCTGGTCAGGATCCATGCCGGTCGCAAACCCATTATGTTAGTTTTGTCGTGACGCGGCTCAAATACAGCTGAGCATATTATTGACATTCGCTTTTGACTAAACGCACTTAGAGCCACACAACTAACCATTCTTTATTATTATAGCTAATGGGAAAAAATAGCTTTCATTATCACCGTCGTCATCGGAATTATTCAATGAAAGTTATTGGCTGAATATGATTTTAAAATAGTTGAATCAATTGTAAACCTTTTATAAAGAAAAAATGCTCATCTTTTGCAGATTTCAATAAACGACTAAGTGGTAAAGAATTTTGATCACTGCCAATCCTTTCACACATAACAATTAGCTGTTAAATATGGACCTTCAATGAAATATCTATCAAAGGCATAATCCTATTGATTAAACAATATTGCGAATACTAGCTCGATTTAGTTCTGATAAACTAGTTGATGGAAATGGTTTTGTAACTTTGTTTATGTCAAAGTTTTGCAATTATGCGTCTCGTTCAATACTTTAGTACATTCCTTTTAAACACACTCATATCACTCAGGAAATAAAAGCATCTTTGACTTCGATCACCTAACGTGATATAATTAGTTTGCTAAACATTGACTGAACTGTCTTTGTTTGGACTAATTTTATGTCATTCGGTTACTCTGACTCTGATTAATCCTGTGTATGTGTCAACAGAAATACATTTGTATAGTTGATATTACTATTTCAAACTCACAAATGTGACAAATACAAAATCAATAGTTACAGGGTACATTTCTTGTCCAGTAGGTAAACTTTTTCATCGATCACGGTATTTGAGCTATTCACAAATGAAATTTAATTTGCATCGGCTAGACTTGGCATCATACCCTGTACTAGATCATTTAAGGCTTTCACCTCCAAGCGCGACCTTGACCTTTTAGGCAGGGGTCAGTGTGTTGCGCATGACACATCGTCTCGATAGATGAAAAGGTTATATACCGGACACAAAATATACCCTTGAACAAACATGTTAATCTTTTACCTTTAAGTGTGACTTTGACCTTAGAGGTAGTGGCCAGGGTGCATGACCCATCGTCTTATTATTGTCAAAATTTGGGGTTAAGTAAATTCAAATCCCTTGATCTATGAAAACGTTATGGACGGACACAAAATGTAGTATTCTTGAACAGTCCATGTTAAGCTTTGATCTTAAAGTATGACCTTGACATTTGAGGTAGGAGTCTGTGTGTTGCGCTTGAGTGTACTATATCATTTTATGCTTTGACCTCCATGCGTGACCTTGATCTGTTAGGTAGGGGTCTGAGTGTTGCGCTTCTCAACATGTAGGCCAAGTTATTTCAAAATCCCTTGATTGATGAAACAGTTATATGCCGTACACAAAATATACCCTAGAACAAAAATATTAATCTTTTACCTCTAAGTGTGACCTTGACCTTAGAGGTAGCGATCAGGGTGTTATGCTTATTATTATCAACATTTCGGTTAGGTAATTTCATAATCCCTTGATCTATGAAAAAGTTATGGACGGGACACAAAATGTATTTTTGAACAGATCACGTAAAGTTTCGGTCTTAAATTTAGGCATCTGAATGTTGCACTCGACACATTGTCTTTTCATTGTAATCATTTATGCCAAACAATTTCAAAATCCCTTGATCTATGAAGGATCGGACAACAAAGTTTGACGAACAGACAGACGGACGGAGCCTATTTCTATATCCCCCATTTTTCTTCGAAAAGTCGGGGAACAAAAAGAACCATAAACTATTCGGGCTCAATTTGCACGGAGAAATTTTGCCTCGCCCGAGGTTTGAGCATGCGATCCCTGAGTAACAAATTTGATGTATTTAACCTTTAATCAAATGGAATCGAAAGTGGTAATTTTTTAACGTACAGTTTGACCAGATTTTATACTGCTAGTATGCGCTTGTATTAAAGTCCCATATGATTTAAAAGGACTGCTTGGCAACACCAATACACACAATTTTATTTCAGCAAGTTTTTGGTTAATAGTCCTAACATAGAGTAATTTAAGTGTATCCTGACATAGAATAACTGAAGTGTGTCCTGACATAGAAGACTTTAAAAGTGTCCTGAGATAGAATCATTTAAATGTGTCCTGACATAGAATAATTCAAATGCGTCCTGACATAGAATAATTTAAATGCGTCCTGACATAGAATAATTTAAATGCGTCCTGACATAGAATAATTTAAAAGTGTCCTGAGATAGAATTATTTAAATGTGTCTTGGCATAGAATAATTTAAATGCGTCCTGGCATAGAATAATTTAAATGCCTCAGAAAGGATTTTTCCCTGCTTCAGAAAAGACAGACATATGTTTCATAATGGTTTAAGATGTAACGCCGCACTTTGGGGTCAAACGCACTTTGGGGTCCGACCCCAAAGTGCGTTACGTACTTTGGGGTCCAACCCCAAAGTGCGTTACGCACTTTGGGGTCTTATTTTGACCCCAAAGTGCGTTAAACAGGTACATATGCATTTTTTAACATCAGGCAAACGACCGCACTTTGGGGTCAGAGAAAATTTATGTTCATTAGGTTTTAAATCATATAGTGTAGTCAAAACCAATGTTAAACAAAAATCAAGGTATTAAATAGACACAAAACATGTGCCCTGAATCAATAGGGATTTAAATGGTCTTGATAAATAAGTGAAGGACTTTCACTAGATAAATCACCAAAATAAAGAATTTGTATCAATTATTAAGCTAAAAATATGTTTTTCTCAAATTTTCCATTTATTTTAAAAGTATGTACACCTTTCATTAACTCCATTATTTTTAGCTTAATGCATCATTTTCCCGTTTGTTATTTACACTTTTTACAGAAATATGATAGTCTTAGCATAGACAAAGGTATAAATTCTGGGTAATCTTAGTAAGACATTTCAGTAAGAAAATGCTTGATAATTTGTTAAAACAGCCATTTATTTAGCTAAATGTGACACATAAGAAACTTGACTAAGTGTAGATGCGGCTTTAAGTAGTAGTCCGTATAGGCAGTACTAAAATATCAACTATTTAAGTACATGTAGTCGCACATTAAGAGCGGAGCTTCAGAATAATGTAAAATTCTCACTGGGGGTATAGAGGGGATGTGGGGTATCGATCCCCCCGAGGGTTAAAAATAACCTTTTAAAGGCCCATTATGCTTTTATTTGTTTTTCTTAAAAGCTTTTTTTATTTTGATGTTCTTTTATATTATGAAAAATACACATTGGTCAATTACCTGAACCATCCTTTTCATTTGTTGCTTTTTGACAATGATGAGTACAGTTATAGTGAATAAGTATTTTATATAGAAATATTACATTGTTTTGACTATTTTTATGAAAAATAATTTCACATTTATCGCTACTTTATTCAGGTAACAAGTATCTTACATTTCACTGATACCATTATTTTAACATTATAAAATTCATGTTTGCTCTTTCTAAAGAAGTATGTAAGATTTCCTATTAAAAAAAGCCTCTGGCGAACGGTTGTTACGGAGCTTACAAAAACCCTTAAGTGTGTTGATAAGCTTAATAATGTATTTGTAAAATTCACTATTTATAGTCCGATCGAAAAATTTGATGTTTCACCAGAACATTGCAATAGAGTATATTTATAGTTCTTTGGAAAAAAAAATTAACTGCATTTTATTTCATTCCCAACAAATTTTAAAAAGGGGCTCAACATGGCACCAAAAGTTATCAAGTAAATGACTGACAGAACGGGATATTTTTCGCAGCATCTTTTAACTTTAGGAACACACAATTTCTGTACTAGAGTATTTTCAACGGTGCCATAAAAGTTACATTTGCTACTTATTTTTTTTGTTTTTGCAACTTTTTTTTTTTTTTTTTTTTTTTTCGTACATATATTTTTTGTTTGACGTACCGTGGTCGTACATATTTTTTTTTAGTTTTGAATACAAACTTTTTTTAGTTCTGCATACATATTATTTTTTAGTTCTGCATACAAATTCTTTTTTAGTTTTGCATACATATTTTATTTTAGTTTTGCATACATATTTTATTTTAGTTTTTTGTACATATTTTATTTTTTGTTTTGTTTTTTACTTTTTTCGTACAAATTTTTACATGACGCCATTTGCAAAGTAGGGGTTTGGATAATTACGCCATTTGTAAAACACCATTTTCAAACACTTCGCCATCTGTAAATTAAAGTACCCTATTTTGCAAACGCCATTTGCAAATACCAACATTTTCATTTTTGGAGATATCAAAAAGATGATAACAGTCATTTGTAACCATCTCCCTTGCCCCAGGGGGAGTGCGGGTTAAACAAGAATCGTGTTTTGATGTTTGCACTGTTCCGGGGCATAAGGCAGGAATGTTATTATCTGAATATCCCCCGCAGGGCAAAGATTTTACGAGTGGTCGGCTTGCCCCCGCTATTCTCAGGGAGTGGGGTTGAGTGGTGCATATTCATGGAATAATAACTGATCACCAATCAACAGCCCTTTCCAAATGGACACTACTATAATAGCATATAATAATTAAAAACAATAATTATATTAAATACATATGATTTAAAAAATGGACCGAAAAAAGGTCGGGCGAAACCAGACTTGCGCGGCCAAAAACGACTGGACCGATTCCAGAAATGGGTCGAAATGTGACCAAACCACTGTGCTAGTTTTATACTCAACTATGGACTGTTATGAGATGTGAAGGCTGTTTTGTTGGCTAAAATATGTACGAAAAATAAAATATGAATGCAAAACTCAAAAAAACTTAAATAAAAAAAATGCAAATGTCACTTTCATGCCACCGTAATTTTGTTCTATGACCACAATTTTTGGATATTTCAAGTGGTAAAAATAAAGTGACATTATGCCCATTCAAGGGTATAAAGTGAGTGAACAGATGGATCTCAAAATAAGTTTTCATTTTACCATAATTCCTTTAAATTTAATAATTTACTTGCCATAAACAATAAATAATGCGCAGATCCAAATAAAATTCTTTAAATATGTATTAGAATTTACCTCTTACGCTCAGTTTATAAAAAGAGTGGGACAGTCTTTTTATATTTTAGGCAGATTTATATTTCTATCCTGAACGTTTTACAATATCAACTCTTGGTCAAACACCACTTTAACAGTCAATCTTTTGAAATATAAAGTCAATTAAGCTCAACTTGACTATGAAAATATGAGCATAATGGCACTAAAACTTTTATCACTTAAGCATCATCAAAGTATTGACCACCATCTTGAACTCCACCTCAAATATTTCAATGTCGCAGATCGAAAATAAGTCAGTACTCAGTATTTAAGCAGAACTCAGATGACACCTTTAGACCTCTGGAACCCAAAGTGCGTTGATATGTAGCATATTAACGCACTTTGGGGTCAATTTCTCGATTTTGACCCCAAAGTGCGTTTGACCCCAAAGTGCGGTGCGAAGTTTAACGCACTTTGGGGTCGGACCCCAAAGTGCGTTTGACCCCAAAGTGCGGTGTTACAGAGCATGCGGGTGCTTATAACTAGACGATAAAAAGCGCTGAATAAGAGTGCATTTGTCATGATAGTAGCAAAATGTAAATACATAATATTTTAACTTTTGTACATTTCTGCGGGTGTAATGGACATTTAATATAACTGAAAACTGTTTTTAGGACAGGCATATTACGAATGGAAAATAATTGTAATAACCATTGTTTTATTTCACCATTTGCTATTACATTTGACTCTCTTGAATTCTCAGAGCTGTACAATATAATTTTTTTTTAAATATCAAGATGAAAATTTGAAGCTAGGCAGCCAACAGCACGGATATTGTTTACTGGTGTCAAATGCTACCAACAGGTGAAGAGTTAAATGATAATGATAACAGCACACGAAGTTTAGTGATTTAATCAGTTGGTCACGGAAGATTGTTAATATTTTATATGTTTATCTTAGTTATATACATTGTTGCTTCTGAATCTTTATTGAACATTTATAATGTGTTTATACTGGTAAATGAAATAAAAGTTAATACGTTAGGTGTGACAGAGTAAAAAGCAACATGCAGGGCTTTGCTCAAATAATGTTAAGTCAAGTATTTATCTTACACAACATCATTTACAATAGCACTTTGAACGCTGGGAGTGGTTTTTTTGCAATATTTTAAAAAATACTGTTTTTCACTAGTTGACAATTCAAATTCAAATTCGACAAGAAATCCCCCTTCAACAATATAACATCAGAAAACTGTTAAAAAATGCATTAATTACATTTAGTTAATTAAACGGAACGAACGGTGGCATGATTTGAAAGTACTTTAAAATGATTCTATGTTGCTGAATAATCGATATGTAACGATCTTTACAATACACCACGGTGTATGATCGGTTTAATATTTGATATTAGAATCAAATTATCATTAAGCCACTCTGACTCTGACGATAAAAGATTCACAAAGTGAAAAAATTATTTATTCATATCATTGCAATATGATTTATGCACAACAAGCTATTATGTCAACATGATAATGGGAGTACAATCCTTGATACATATGCATTTACACTAGACAACGTTAGGAAAGTGAAGTGCAGAATACTTCCTTTTTATAGAATCTTTTGAATCATATTTCATCTTGTAATGGAAGGGTTTCGGTTCGGGATTTACATGTCTGTCATATTCTTCGTTTCTTTTCACTTTGAACTTGTAACGGCAGTAAAACAAACATCTGCAGTTATTTTACAGGTTCAATCAGTGCCAAACGGAGTGTCGTCTGCAAAATTGATAGAATGCGCGTTTCACCTTATGAAATCATCGGACAGTTCTTTCGTAAGAATTGCTGAAGGAAGTAACGTTTGTGAACAACTAGCACGTCCTTCGTCGACGAGCTCAAATTTCTTCGAGAAAGGCTTTGAATACTTAGAAAAGTCTACATTGTATAACGTTTTCAATGAAGAGGTAAAAATACCTACAATATTGATATCGATGACACATTTTCTCTAAAAACATTATTAGACATTTCAATAACTATTTCGGCTGTCGGACGATTTTTTTGTTATTTGATCATGAAAGAGTCGTTAGAAATAAGTTTTACTAAAGATAATTGAAAATATAGTTTGTCAGATATATGTATGCACTGACAATATGATGTAATACTGAATACAATATTACAAAACATTTGTTGTCGTAAAGCTTTCATTTCTTTCTTTTTTCAGGATTCCTTCAATGAGGGAATTGCACATTACATATACAAAGAAGTAAACATTGGAGACAAATTTGATTTCGTGTTTCATATGTCGAAGTCAGACAAGTAGGTTTCTTTGTTACATTAAATTGAAGCACCGATATATATATCTTTAAATCGAAACTGTTTACATTTTTGTAACATGTTCTTCTATCAATTAATCGCCATTTTAAATATCATATATACTAATATACAAGACAAATTTTATAGAATTTAATGTCATTGTATGTGTCCGGACACTTTGGTACGGTTTTTAAACTTGTCTAAGTTTATCGATAAAACAACAGAACAGGATATATGTAACAAGTAAACATACACTTAACTGAGGTTTAATTTAATTAATTGATAAGAATTATATAATATTTTGTATCACAACCCCTCACCGACAAACAGATACAACTTAACATATAAATAGCTCAAAATTTATTCGGATACGATATCTTTTCTTTTTTTTTCTTATTTTTTTTTATTATCTTTCGATATTTTCTTTAACTTAAATTTTTCATAAAAATCAGTTTACAATTCATTCTTGTATTTGAAATAGTAGGATGATTAGTGAACGCAACTGAATTATACTAGATACAATGTTCAATAACACCAATCATTAACCAATATTGTATTTAATTTAGGTTGACAGTGTCGTTTAGAAACATGGCAAAAACAGATGTCGCTCTCAGACTCAATGATAATTCAACGCATTTAAGATTGATTACTATTGAAGATTCTATTACAATAGAAAGGAAAACACTTGCCTCTCCTTTCAAGGACTGTCAAATCTACAAGATCAGTTTTGAGGTACTTGAGCATCACTGGAAGGTAAGAATATGGTGATTAAGATTAGATGATAGTTTATATTGCCTTTATTTATAGACATGGAATTCTTTTTGGTGAATATGATGTGATATGTATTGATATGGTATGCACTTGAGAGAGTATTGATAGAGGCAGCAGCACATATGACATCAAATTCACAACCTTAAGATTTTATAAATTCGATCTATTTAAATAATAATTTTGAATGCCTCTTAATACGAAACAAAACAACATTTCTTAAGTTGATTACTGTAGTTATTTAAAATAAGGTCATGTGTTTTAAAGGAAAGTACGGAAATTCTAAATTTGTAATATTACCAAAAATAGACGCAAACAGCAAAAGAGTGCTTTCACTTTCCGTATGATGTTCAAACATGGTGATAACATTAGGGAATTACCAATTACCAGCTACCAGCTAGTAGGAAGTTGGTTATTCGAATATTCAACTACCGACAACCTAGCAAAGTGACGCTCATTTTTGACAGAGAGAACGCAACCTTGTCGGACCGTATATGTCACGGAACGTATATGTCAAAGGACATATTCGGCCGAATTAATCACAGCTGTGTATGTGCCATTTACGTTTCTATAATTTGTATTAAATGCATGACCGTATATGTCTACGGAAGAGCATAAGTGCCAGGTGTATGTTTTTTATTAACTCGAAATTGCGAGTTAGTAAGTCGAAATTTCGAGTTAGTTAGTAACTCGAAATTTCGAGATAAATAAGTCGAAATTTCGAGTTAGTAACTCGAAATTTCGAGTTAATAAAAAACATACACCTGGCACTAATGCTCTTCCGTATATGTCACACATTTTACACAGTAAACTAACATTATCATCGTCGTTTTAAGCTACATTTATCAACGTTAATAAAAAAGACCCAGTCATAATGATTAACGGTGTAATTAACTTGTTTGATATTATCTCGAAAAATATCATGGATTTATTTTATTTAAAAAATCATATTTTTTACTACGTCATATAACATCGCATCTATTAAAAATTGATATTATTTTTTTACAAGAAACGCATTGCAAAAATGATAACGAATCTAAGCTCTGGGGAACTCAATGGGGTGGCGACTTTTACTGGTGTAATAATAACAACGGAATCCGAGGCGTAGCGATCTTGATAAAACCGTTATTATCAATACCGGTAAAAAACATTGAAAAAGATGACGGGGGTCGATACATCTCGCTTGAATTGTGCGAAATGAGAAAGTTTACCGCTTAACGAATGTGTACGCCCCGAACAATGGAACGGAGCGCAAAGATTTTTTCAACTCACTTTCGAATAAGTTAATGGATTTAACTGAGACGCATATAATTGGCGGGGATTTCAATTGTTGTTTAAACTCTAAACTAGATAGAAAATATTGCGGTAATAATAGATATGATAAAGCAGACGATGGTCTAAATGACTTATTACAAATGATTCGTGAGTTAGATGTGGAAGACATTTGGCGAAAACGCTTCCCTGACATTAAGCAATATACTTTTATGCGAAACGAGTCCAAATCAAGGATCGACTATTTTCTTACTTCAAAAATAATTGATAGCGAAGTATCAAGTCCAAAAATACAACATTTTATACATTCAGATCATGATCTTGTTTCGTTGACTTTAAAAATCGATAATGTTCAAAGGGGTCCGGGTCTCTGGAAACTGAATGCAAGTATTTTAAAAGATATTGAATACGTTCAGCTCGTAGAAACATTTTGGAAAGATTGGTCAAAACATAAAGCTAATTTGAACTCAAAACGCGAGTGGTGGGATATGACAAAACATAAAATTAAAACGCTTTCAATTGAATATACAACACACATTTCAAAACCACAAAGACGAATTAAAGTAATAGAAGAAAAAATCACAAAGCTTAAAGAAACCAATTCAGCCGAGGCCCAAACTGAAATCAAAATGTTATCAGAGGAATTGACTTTCTATTATCAGAAAGAGCTCGAAGCACTCAAAATTAGATCAAAAGCCAAACACATTGCTGAAAATGAAACCTCTTCAAAGTATTTCTTCGACTTAGAAAAAAAGAGGGGCAAGCAAAAATTATGGACGCAAATAAAATCCAAATCTGGAAAACTTAAAAGCGATATAAATTCAATTTTAAAAGAACAGTGTGCATTCTACAAGAAACTTTTTTTATTCTGAAGGAATTGATCTCTGTTCGGCAGAAAAATTGGTTTCAAATATTACTACTAGTATAAATAATGATGAGAAATTTGCCCTTGATTCAGATTTTCGGGAGGAAGAAGTTGAAAAGGTTATTATGGGTTTTAAACTCACAAAATCCCCCGGTGAGGACGGCCTCACTGCAGAATTTTATCAAAAATTTTGGTACTTAATAAAAAACGACTTTCTTGAAGTAATTTTAGAAATTATTGGTTCCTATAATTTATCAAATTCACAACACAGGGGTGTTTTATCATTGCTTTATAAAAACGGGGATAGGTCTGATCTTAAGAATTGGCGTCCACTTACACTTCTAAATGTCGATTACAAAATTATTTCGAAATGCTTAGCAGAAAGACTGAAACCATTATTATCGAAGTTGCTTCATTCAGATCAAAAAGGTTTTATTAAGGGTAGACAAATTTCAGAGGCAACAGACTCATACAGGACGTAATAGATTACACTGATCTAGAAAAGAAAGATGGTGTTATAATTTTTTTAGATCAAACTAAGGCTTTTGAAAGAGTAGAATGGGATTGGCTAGATATCTGCTTAAAAAGGTATGGTATAGGAGACAAATTCAGAAAATGGGTTCAAATGTGTTTAGTCGGCTCGAAAACAGCTATACAAACAAACGGGTTTATTTCTGAATATTTTCAAATTTCCCGCTTGTCCAATAGCGCCGTTTCTCTATATCTTACTGTACAAGCAGAACCAATGGCTTGTGCAATCAGAAATAATATTAATATACACGGCATTAAAATGCCTTCGTTAAATGGGTATGAGCTTGAATTAAAAGTATGTCAATTTGTTGACGAAACATAATTTTTTTGTGAGAATGAGTCTTCAGTTCCAGAAATATTTAATACTTTAAAAGAATATGAAATTTCCTCTGGGGCCAAAATGAATAAGGATAAATCAACAGGCATCTTTATTGGAAAATCAAAAGAAAAGATTTCGAAATTAAGAGATATAAAATGGACGAGAAATTATGTTAAAACTTTAGGAATTTGCCACGGCTATAAAATAGATACGAACAAAATTTGGATGAAAAAGATAAACAAAGTTAAAAATTGTTTTCAAGTATGGAAAGCTCGGGGTCAGACTTTTAAAGGGTGAATTCTTGTTCTGAAAACATATGTAGTTTCTATTATTAATTTTGAAATTGAAACGCGCGGTATACCGACAAAATACATAAAAGAAATCGAAAATTTCACGGGTGCGTTTTCGCCAAAGTTTTCAGTAAATAGTTCACATAAATCTGATATAACATACATGGTGAACAGGTTGGTCTTATAGTGAATTTATTTTTACATTATATGCAACTATCCTTTTATCCTCTAAGTAACGTATATTTCCAAATACATCGGTTACAAAATGACACGTATCTTCTTGTTTTTTCTCGGTCCGACATCTTGGATGAAAGCACCGTAACACAGAAAATCCGCACCGTTTCACGCACCCGACAGTGATATTTGTTTATGTCCACGTCGCCTTCCTTATCATTTTACCAGTAAGATGACACTGTGTCAATACAGTGACTGACTTTGTCGAAAAATATGTGCTAAATATTTTTGACATAAATATTAATTGACTTGAAGATAAAATATCGACTTTTCATGTCCCAACTCTGAGGGGGGGGGTGGGTGGGGGTATTTTAACATTTTATTTGTCCGTGCGCCTGCCCGTCCCTAAATCTTTAGTGTTGCAAGGGGTCATGACATTTTACATGAACGTTGGTCAGCATTATGTTATTGTGCACTGTAACACCGCTTTTTGGGGTCAAACGCACTTTAGGGTCAAACCCCAAAGTGCGTTACGTTCTTTGGGGTCCAATTTCGACCCCAAAGTGCTAACAGGTACATATACATTTTTTTAACATCAGGCAATTGACCGCACTTTGGGGTCATAGAGAATGAATGTCCATTATGTTTTAAATAATATATTGTAGTCAAAGCCAATGGTAAACAAAAAATCAGGGTATTAAATAGACGCAAAACATGTACCCTTAATTATAGTAGAATCAATAGGGATTTAAATAGTCTTGATAAGTAAGTTAAGAACTTTCACCAACTAAATCACCAAATAAAGAATTTGTATCAATTATTAAGCTTAAAATTTTTTTCTCAAATTTTCCAATTATTTTAAAAGAGTGTACACCTTTCATTAACTCCATTGTTTTTAGCTAAATGCATTATTTCCCCGTTTTTTATTTACAAATTTTATAGAAATATGATAGTCTTTGCATAGACAAAGGTATAAATTCTGTCTAATCTTAGTAAGACATTTCAGTTACAAATATGTGTCTGATAATATGTTGAAAGAGCCGTTTATTTAGCTAAATGTGACATATAAGAAACTTGACTAGGTGTAGATTCGGCTTTCAGTAGTAGTCCGTACAGGCAGTACTAAAAATATCAACTATTTAGGTAGTCGCACATTAAGAGCGGAGCTTTAGAATTATGTAAAATTCTCAGTGGGGGTATAGAGAGGATTGTGGGGTATCGATCCCCCCCCCGAGGATTAAAAATAACATTTTAAAGGCCCATTATCCTTTTTTTGTTTTTCTTAAAAGCTTTTTTATTTTGATGTTCTTCTATATTATCCAAAAAAATACACATTGGCCAATTACCTGAACCATCTTTTTCATCTGTTGCTTTTTGGCAATGATGAGTACAGTTATAGTGAATTAGTATTTTATATGGAAGTCAAATACTACATTGTTTTGACTACTTTTATGACAAATAATTTCACATTTATCGCTACTTTATTCAGGTAACAAGCATCTTACATTTTTTCTGATACCATTATTTTAACATTATAAAATTCATGTTTGCTCTTTCTAAAGAAGTATGTAAGATTTCCCATAAAAAAGCCTCTGGCGAAGGGTTGTTGCGGAGCTTACAAAATCCCTTAAATTTGTTGATAAGCTTAATAATGAATTTGTAAAATCACTATTTATAGTCCGATTGAAAAACTTGATGTTTAACCAGGACATTGCAATAGAGTATACTTATAGTTCTTTGGAAAAAAAATATTAACAGCATTTTATTTCATTCCCAACATATTTAAAATGGGTCTCAATATGTCACCAAAAGTTATCAAATAAATGACTGACAGAACGGGATATTTTTCGCATCATCTTTTAATTTTAGGGATACACAATTTCTGTACTTGATTTTTTTTGAACGGTGGCATAAAATTGACATTTGCATTTTTTGGATACTTTTTTTTTTTTCGTACATGTTTTTTTTTGTATGTCGACCATATTTTTTTTTTTAGTTTTGAATACATACTTTTTTTTAGTTTTGCATACGTATTCTTTTTTTGTTTTCATACATATTCTTTTTTAGGTTTTTGTACATATTTTATTTTAGTTTTTTGTACATATTTTATTTTTGTTTTTTCGTTCATATTTGTACATGACGCCATTTGTTAAGTAGAGGTTTGGATAATTACGCCATTTGTGAAACACCATTTTCAAACACTTCGCCATCTGGTAATTACAGCACCCAATTTGCAAATGCACCAACATTTTCATTTTCTGAGGTATCAAAAAAAATAACAACACTTTTTAGTATAAATATATTCTGCATATGGTCTCGATGTGGTTAACATTTGACACAAGGTGCCTTAAAATCCTTCATGGGGTTTAGGACAAGTTTTAACCCAAGTTTTAATCCTTTGATCTGTAGGTGTGACCCCGACCTTGAGCCGACACACTTTGCATATAAGTTCTGCACATTATCTGGATGTGCTAAAGAATTGACCGAAATTTAATAAAAATCCTTCAAAGCTTTAAGCATTTTTTCTAAATCAGTGGAATATAAGGACCTATTTAGATCAATGTAATACATCAGTCATTTTTCACCACCTCTCTTGCCCCCGGGGGAATGCGGGTTAAAAAAGAATCGTGTTTAAATGTTTGCGCTGTCTCGGGGCATAAGGCAGGAATATTATTATCTGAGTATACCCCGCAAGGCGAAGATTTTACCAGTGGTCGGCTTGGTTTAAAGTCAATGCCCCCCACCCCCCGAATGGGTGGGGTTGAGTGGTGCGTATTCATGGAATAATAACTGATCACCAATCAATTGCCCTTTCCAAAAAGACACTAATATTATAGTATATAATAATAATAATAAAACAATAATTGTATAAGATACAAATAATTTAAAAAATGGGCCGAAAAGGGTTGGCCGAAACCATCTTTGCCCTGCCGAAAACGACAGGGCCGATTCCAAAAATGGTCCGAAATGTGTCCAAACCACTGTGCTAGTTTTATACTCAACTATGGGCTATTATGAGATGTGAAGGCTGATTTGATTGGCTAAAATATGTACGAAAAAAACAAAAATAAAATATGTGCGAAAAACTAAAATGAAATATGTATGCAAAACTAAAAAACAATATGTATACAAAACTGGAAAAAAAATATGTATGCAAAACTAAAATGAAATATGTATGCAAAACTAAAAACAAAAAAATGCAAATATCTTTATTATGCCAACGTAATTTTGTTATATGAACACAATGTTTAGATATTTCAAGTGGTAAAATTAATGAAATGATACTTTTATCACTTAAGCATCATAAAGGATTGACCGCCATCTTGAACTCCACCTCAAATATTTCAATGTCGCAGATCGAAAATAAGTCAGTACTCAGTATTTAAGCAGAACTCAGATGACACCTTTGGACCTCTTGAACCCAAAGTGCGTTGATATGTAGCATATTAACGCACTTTGGGGTCAATTTCTCGATTTTGACACCAAAGTGCGTTGGACCCCAAAGTGCGGTGCGAAGTTTAACGCACTTTGGGGTTGGATCCCAATGTGCGTTTGACCCCAAAGTGCGGTGTTACAGTGCACCTGGGATTTCGTTTGTCGATCCGGGCAGTCATGTAATAGTTATTGCCCTTGACTTAGTCAAATCGGAAATAGACAACATGTGCCGCGAGTGGCATCAACAGTATTTGAACTAGGGGTATGGTCACGAAACTTGTAAGTTTATCTTACACGCACAAAGCGTTATTTTGACATGTGCTTTACAAATGAAGTTATACCACTAAATAATATTAATTATTTTACGCCGTGACCTAGATATAAGCAAAAACAAAAACTTTTATAATCACGCCAAAAACGATTTTTGAACATTTTCATAAACTATTTTTCTTAACGCTGCAAACAAGAGTGGTGCGCACGAGCGGAGATAGTATGAATGGCGTTCTGTACACTCCACTTTTATAACTTGCTCATTAAACGTTATGTTATGTCTAAAACCATCATGGTCAGTTTCGAAATGACGAGTGAACGCGTTGAAGTTGTTTCAAACAAAATGTTTGACATACTTTAACATGCATTCTACGTTTGCTTTTGCATGGTTGCATTTGGCAAGATGGGATTTTTTCTTGATGTCTCACAAAATATGGATGATACAATGATAAGGGGTAGTGGTGGCCTAATGGCTGAGATATTTGGCTCTCAACCCCAGGATTGTGGGTTCGAACCCAACTCGGGTCATGACTATGTTTCCTCATCTGACACCAGTACTGGTTAGTTCCAGGAATCGGACTCTTAAGTGATTGATATAAATTGAAAGAACGTGTTTTGCAATCGAGCATAAATAATGTTTAAACTAATTGCTTGTAGATTTATTAAGGGTCCTGGAATCATTTTGTTCAAGCAGTAAGAAATATAAAAAACATTTAGTCCAAGACGAAATATATTCTAGTTTACGGGGATATTGCAGTACGATACACACGAAATATGTGTTTCGCTTATTTGGTGAAATATTTGTTAATTATACAAAAAAAGATCTTTGAAATATTTGTTTATTATATACTTTTAAAGATTCGATGAAACATTTGTTGATTAGAGATCTACACTAAAAAAAAATTATTGAAATATTTGTGAGGATGAGGTAAACAAGCGTCGTAAAAGACAAGTAAAATGAATATTGTAACGGCTGAAGTAACGCAAGTTTGAACGCCGACCTGGCTTTTCTGGGATTTGATCCAACGCAACGGCCTATCGAAACTCTGTGTCCTCACTGAATATAAATACTCTTCAGAAAGGAGATTCTACATGTAAAAATGTTCAATAAAGTTGAAAAATGCACATCGTTATAAAAATGCAGACTATTTAGACTGTTTTTAATTACATGTATCACCTTTTTCTTCCAGATTACAATAAACGGCGAAGTGTTGACAACATTTGACCATCACGGATTGATTACATACATCGAAATGATCCGTATCAAGTTAGGACCTTCTGTCAACTATCTGTCAAAGTATTTCAACCCAAAGACACTGGTGTTCAGTGACCATGTTTGGTAAATTAAGTTAGTTTCTGTGATGAAACTATCAAAACAAGAGTTTTGTTAGGTGTTTTAATAAACAATTGAAAGAAATATATCCGCTGATACATGGATATACTCACGTCAGATATCGATATTCGATTTGATTCAGTTCCACCCATTGTTTTCTCTATTAGGGTACAAAAATTCATTTACTTAGGGACCATACATCGCTTCTATGAAACAGCACTAACGTGTCACATTGTAGGTTCGTTCCATGTTATTCATCTTATGAACAAATCTGCAGATGTTTCTAAACTCAAAAGTTTACCATTTCATGTGTTTAATTTGACCTTGATTCATACCATTGTAAATAGAATGTTGCAAAATAATTTCACTAAAAACAGTCGGGATCCGGGACTGTAGTATAACTGTGATCCAGAGATTTTGATTTCTGCCATAGTTTAGCTTAAACATATTTTATTTCAAACATTTTAACACAAACATATTTTATATACAATCATTACTTACATGATAAATATACAATGATAAAAAAAAGAATCAGATCCGAAATCATAAAATGCTTATAAAGGTCTTTTCCTAACATAAAATTCATTACTGTAAATTTAGCGGTATATTTCATGTTCAAACTATATCATAAAAACCTTTTATTGATAATGAACGTAGAAAGATGAGGAAGGCAAAAGTGTCAGTTAAGAGCTGAAAGTAGAAAATTTTAGAGTTGAAATAAGTTAGATAGGAAACTTTACTGTACTTCAGAACATGATTTTATAATATTATACATGTACGATCGATTGTGTTTCTTTGACAATAATTGTTTAAACACTAGCTCGCTAATACTTCAATTGAAACTTTGATTAAACGAATATAGATCCTTAGTGTGATTTTTGCATGCCAAATTACCGTCTTTGCAGACCGATATAATCCTGATATTGTTGTTATTATTGAATATCAACCATAACTTTTGATCAACGTAAGCGTCAATACTTTGTTTTATTCAAATTTTAGTATGCATTGCTTCTAGATACGACACATGTATTCAGATAATTCGTTCAATGTATGATAACAATATGAAATTAAAACGTGAACTAAATTCAGTTTAAACTAAAACTAGTCTTTGATTTTCTTTCATGCCTTTTGCCGCTTCCCTGAGAACTGAACGATGGAGAGATTGTTGAAGAAGAACGCATGTGTAAGTTGTTCTTTGCAAGCGTCAGCAGATATATGATTTCTTCTCGAAATCTGGAACCACTCATTACATTACAGGACAAAGTTAATAGATGCATTCAAAAAACCAAAACTTATGGGTAACTGCTTCCCAGAAATATAACCTTTCTATACCTGTTAAATAGCTGTTAACATCGGAGCATGCCTTCGCGTTCAAATTGTCAACAAGGTATGGAAAATAAACAAATAAAACTGCTACAGGCATCTGGGAAATAAAAAATATAGTATTCAAAAGAATTAAAATCATCATAAGAGTTCTCGCTTGATGTCCGTGTCGATGCTGGCCGATGTTGTCCCCCTTTCGCACTTCCATTTCCACTTCCGCCAGTCATCCATTTTTGGCGCCATGCGCATTTTCCCGAAGTCCGCGAATAACGAGAGTATTTCCGATGAAAATAAAAAATGAATGGCGCCACAAAACCAAAGAATAAATGTACCCAAAACCATGTATAAATATAAACTTGGCGTATTCTTTGTAACTGGCATGCACCTGTAGGAGCCTTTTGAACATTTCTAATGAAGTTATTCCAAAACCATAAATAACATGCGAGTCTATTACACAAATTGTAAAACACAAATTCCCAATGGTAGCAAATATGGCTACCCGTTGAGTACATCGCCGTTTTACGTTGTAAGCCATAAAACGCTTACAACCCTTTCAATTGTCACTGCGACTAAAATCCAAGCTGAACAAATGAAAAAACTTGTGTATGTAAGGAAACATTGACACTTTACAACCTATGTCGCTTAAAATCTCGAATTTTTATCCCAAAAACATGGTACATGAACCGTTTTAATGGAGATTGAACAAAAACAACGTATCTGTCAGGGCTAATGATAGAAAGATATACAAGCTGTTGACGAAATTTTCCGGAAGTTTCGCAAAAATAACGAGAGCTGTCAAAAGATTTCCCACAGTTCCAAAACAAAATGAGGCAAATTGGAACAATTTTCCATATCAAATCAGTAGCTTTATAGAACTTTCCGTTGTCTGGAAGCGGAAGTGGATACACGCATCCTGGCAATTCCAAGGAACGCCCGGTGGAGGATCACTGCTAAATAAACGTTTCGGAAGATGTATTGTTTCCGATATATAAATTCTCAAGAATAATTCATACTTAATACTTTTCATTGACCGATGTGGTAGTGGACAGTTATCTAAGACATCCGCAAATTTCATCTGAGCTGATGATTAAGTTATTACATCTGATATAGTCAATATCCAAACAAAGCTATTTATATTTGTAAAAGTTTTTTTTTCTATGTTAACTGTTCCTTGTACAATTCCAATACACGTAGTGTTGACTATACTAACTGTGAAGCTACAAAAAAGTTTGATAAAAATGATATTAATTAGATACAATTGCAATATGTTACACCTGACCTCAAAACAAACAACAGTAAATAAAGCTTCAATTCATATATAATACATATATAAAGCTTCACAATTAAACATTGGATAAACAAAAGTCCCCATTTCCCACAAAAATATTTGGTATATATTGTTTAAAATCAAATATTTAGTTTTTGCACGAGCATTATGTTAAGAAAGTCCTTATATCAGTAGTGTTATATTTATTGACAATTCTTACTTGATTTCGGAAAATTAAACGCACACGCGTATGTTTAAATCTGAAATTTCAAATAAAGCGGTGCTACAGTTATAGCGCAAGTTGTTTAGTATAACATTTACAGTATGACAACTGAAACTTTTGTTTTGTTCGACTTTACGGCGCACCAACACATTTTTGGTCATTTGGCGCCGAAACAAGAAAGGTAATTCTGGCTTATCTCGGATGTTTACAATCTTAAAGCAACACCAGGGGTCAAAAACCAACTCACCTGCTGCAGAGACTCCAGTTATACGAGATGTTTAGTCGCCTAATTTCATAAATTTTAGTATTTACAGTGGGAGATGCATTTACATTGTTTTGAAATAGGCGATAATTTTATATTGAAGAAGATCTATGAGACACGTGCTTTATTTTAAAGTTACAACAATATGTTACAGACAGGCCGTGATTGTTTTTGACGACAAATACTCATATGCACACCATTTTGACATTGACATAAGCAAAATAGTGCCGCGAGCATAAAAAATATATTTTACCTCTATAAACAGCTGATTAATGTTAAAATGGAGTGATACAAGGTATCATGTAGTATATGGAAATTTGGACAAGGAAATAAGCAAAGCTAGTACCAAGGTGTGGTATCTATAACGATACCCTCTTTTGCGAAAAATTCACGGAAAACGACACCTTCTTTGCAAAATATCGCTTAATATTACTTTCAGTAAATGAAAAATGAACACATTATCAAAAGGCACCAATAAGACAATAACACTTTAAGCATTTCTTAAAACTTTTCACAATGGACATAGCTCCTTTTATCAGTATAATGAATATTCACTGGATTGCTGTCCGGTTCCGAAAAAGGTTTGCCATAAATCCGTTTAACTACTATTTTTAAAGTGCGCATAGTGAACACCTTATTCGTTATCAAATTGTTTCTGTTATTTCTGCATAAAATCTTTTGATTTAAACTAATTAGCTGGTTCTAAATATATTTCAACTTAATTTTCCATTACAAAAACAGCATGCATCTAAAAACAAGAAGTATTTTTTTTAAAAGATACCGCCTTAGTTAAAAGCTGATTTATTTGCATATCGTATCGTAGGGGAAACATGGAAATGAATCATAAGGGATTAATGATTAATTGATGCGTTTAATTTGTTGGTGTTAGAAATTAAGTTCACTTTAAGCGTAACAAGATTAATAACCCTTCAAGTAATCATTTGTCATTGTGTGTGCAAAGCTATGCTTAACATTTCTATATGATTTTCAATTGGAAACTAAGAACTAACACTATGCAAGTTAACCAGTTTTATTTCGGTGGAGTATTTTTTTTAAAGCTTCATCTTTGATTAATTATATATATATATACATTTGTACCATCAATATTACTCATACCTTACATTATCTCATATTCTTAAGAAGTTAAGAAAGAAGATTGCTGCAGTAAATATGGCAGTAATCTTTACTATTTTCGTTTTTGGTTTTGGTTTACGCGGCATCAACACAGTAAGAGGTCATAATTGCAACTTTCTAAACTTTACTGGTAAAGGGAGACCCCAGGTGCCCGTCCATACATTATTTCCAGACACTAAGTCCTGTCTGATTCGAACCCACAAGAACGGAAGAAAATTGTTTTGTATTTAATCTAAACAACTTTACCTTTACTTGTTGGTGCAAACTAAAACTTTTAAACTAATAAATAAAAAAAACATTGGAAAAAAGATTTTACTGCAATGACAGAAACGTGTAAGGCAAACACATACTATTGATGGGATTTTTAAAAAAGTTTATTAACAGTTTCCTACTCAATTTCCGATAAACCAAAATTTATTTAAAATTAATATGTAAATGCAAACTTTATAAATGAAAATTGTAATGTTTGACTCAACCACTGTTACAAACCATCCCCGCACAAATTTTGGTTGAAATTTTCATTTAGAGAAATCAGATGTGTTTTTAATAAGGCGCCCATCATGGAACTTTCAACGGGCCAGCTCTTACCATTCCAAGAAAGATTCGGCGTAAAATCCTAAACGAGAAAACAATGGGCGGAAACAAAATAAAATGGGAGGTTTTGAAGGAGATTTAAGACGCCTTT